CTTACGAGCTCTATGGTTACTACACGACTGTTTCTCGACCACCTTACGAGCTTTATAACTACTAAATGACTTTCTTATGACCACCGTACGAGCTTTATAATATATATATATTTTTGAAACTGTCGAAATTTCGTCTGGCAAATAGTGCTGAAACCTGTCCTTTAGGAGTAAGTATATCAATAATGTACGTATACCTTCCATTCGACAGGTCGTGTTCTCAATCGGTTTGCTAAAGACATCAGTCAAATGGACGATCTTCTTCCCTCCTCATTTTCGGATTTTGTCAGGGTAGGTATCTTTCGTAGGTTGTTTGATGCTGTACAGTACTTCCTGATGCCTTGCTGCATCATGCATTACCGTGCTCTTCCATACAGCAGTTTTCGTATGACTGTGAAAAGCTCGCGGCACGAACACGGTCGTGACACGGCAAGGCATACGTCAGACTAATCACATTGAGCGAGAATTTACTCTCCATCCAATCAAATCAGACCCGGAACATGGCGCGAGCACGGTCACGCCAAAGTCATCGCGCTGTCAGACCAATCACGTTGCGCGAAAAAAAAAAATCAGCTAAGCTCATTCCTTGCTGTACCATACCGTACCTTGCTGCATTGAATCATGCTGCACCGCACCTTGCCTTGCTAGACCATTCCGTACCTTGCCTTCTTCCACCATGCTGCATCGCACCTTGCCTTGATAGACTGTGCCGTACCTTGCTGTCTTGCATGTGTCATAGATTGTGCCATATCGTTATGTGCCACGCCGTGTTTTTACTAAGTATACGTCATTTCCAATCAGCATACTGATTTGCGGATCAGAAAAACCAATGGTTCCAGATTTGTTCATGTGATGCTTATGGAAGATTACAGTTAAGATTATAATTATATCGTTTTTTCAGTATGGATCTTGATAAACATTTGATTAAGAAAATAAACGCAAGAATTGCTGGACGTTTCGATGACATCCTGTCATCATTTTCAACAACATTTAATGACAGATCAAGCGTGAGTTACTGAATGACAAAATAAATATATGTACTTTTTTTTAATATCAGCTCAGTGTCCTTACATTTGCCATCCTTCTCCTCAACGTGGTCAGCATCCCATACCTTTTGGTCGGCGCACTACCAATGACTATCCTCTTCGGTTACCTTAGAAATTATTACCTGAAGACATCACGAGACATCAAAAGACTGGAAGCTATCAGTGAGTATTTATCAAATTTTTTTCCGTGCTCCGTTCAGTGTTAAAGCCAGCAGAAAGTGCCGCAAGCACGAAAGAGGTGTGTGAAGCACGTGCTTACGTCACTTCCTGCGTGCTTCATTACTGAACGGAGCTTGGGAAAAGCTTTTTTATTCGTTAGTTATTAGGCTATATGCAAAATATTATTCAACAAATCCATGTTCCCTTAAATTTTATCCCCTCTCTCCATCAATGCTCTGTTTTAAGTGTTCTGTCGAGTGTCAAAGTGTTTGTATTGTTGAAGTTGTGCATTCTTTATATATTACTTTACCGTTGGTATTTGTGAATATTTAGACACTGATTCGGGTCTAAGGCTCCGTCCACACGTATCTAGAAATTTTCGTATCCGCAAATTATTTTTTACGGTTACGGGTTGCGTCCACACTTGTTCGAAAATTTTCGAAAACAGTCTCCAGAGTGGAAATTTTCGAATACGCTCCGAATACGGATACGTGTGGACGGTCGTATCCGCAAATTTTCGAATACGATGACGTAAACACGATTTTGCGCATGCTCAATGAGAAAAACTATCCGTCAAAGGGACTAGGCACTAGCGCGCATCAGGGCGGATCAAGAAATTTCCGGATACGTGTGGACAGTGAAAACGATTCGAAAACGATTCGAATACGCTGCGTGTGGACACGAACATTTTCGTATCCACAAAAAAAAAGTTGCGGATGCAAAAATTTTCGGATACGTGTGGACGGGGCCTAAGCCTGAGTAAATGAGTCTGTAATCAAGAAACACAGCTGTAATTTGGAATTCAAAACTGGTCTGTTAGCTTAGGAAGACAGAAATAAAGCTTTTGAAAAATCCCAGACTATCATAACTCCATGTATTTCCCTTCACCAGACCGTAGCCCAGTGTATTCTCACGTATCGGCAAGTTTGGATGGTCTGATGACGATAAGAGCCTTCAATGCTGAAGAACGATTTATTGACAGTTTCTATGACTACCAGAACTACCACTCGGCTGGGTACTTCCTCTTTCTGACTACTCAAAGATGGCTTGGTGCCAGACTTGATGTCATGTGTGCCTCGTTCATGGCCTTGGCTGTTATTGGTAGCATGGTAACATTTGAAACCGGAACAGGTATGGGAAGAGTGCTGGGCAGTACATGATGATACGTTCCTCCCTTCCTTCCTTCCTTCCTTCTTTCCTTTTTTCCTTCTTTATCGATCTTCTCTCCGTCGTTACTAAGATGTTTTTAATTATTGTTCTTTTCTTTCAAATATCTAATCTTTCTTCTTTTTTCTTTGCAGCTTTGAGCGCTAGTGTTGTTGGTCTGTGTCTGACATATGCTAAGATGTTAACAGGCATGTTCCAGTGGTGTACAAGGCAGAGCGCTGAAGTAGAAAACATTGTAAGTAAGCATTCGTTATAATGCGTTCTCACTAAAGCTAAAAACTTTACAAAAAAATCTTTGTTCAAGTTTTCTTTACTTTGTGGATAATGTTTTAAAATTTGAGCCAGACCACGTGTCATTCCCTTGAGTATAAGATCCTTCGTTGGAGTTGTATCCATATTTATGCGTCTTCTCATGAACAGCCTGTGTAAAGCAAAGAAATGATACTCTAGGGACTGACACGTGGTCTAAGATTGGAAAACCTAAATAACCCAGTTAAGAAGGTTTAGATTCCCTTCCATACCTAATGCGAAAACATGCAACACGCATTCATGGTGCATGGATGATGACCCTGGTTGAACCAATCACAGCTGGCGTGATAAATATGCAGCCAATCAGATTTCACACCCATTGTGATTGGTTTGTGTGGATTCTCGCTTTGATTGGCTCAACTCGAAAGCCATTTAACGGCCGTGCAAAATTTTCTCTAATGGAGTTATATTTTTATTGAACGCCAGATGACATCAGTTGAGAGGGTTATAGAGTACTCACAACTAGAACCAGAAGCAGAGCCCTCGAAACCCTTACAAATCCCGCGGGATTGGCCTAGTAATGGCGTCATTTCAGCCGAGCGGCTGTACTACTCCCATCACAAGACGCTACCTCCAGTTCTCAAGAATCTTAATTTTTGTATCAAAAGTGAAGAAAAGGTAATGTTCTGTCCAGTTGGTCGCACAAGTTCTTATTAAAAGTTTGTTGGTCGTTTGATTAAGACGGACGGTTTGAGAGGCTCGTTTTTTGTTGTTGTTTTTTGTAGTCGTTGTTTTTTGTAGTTGTTGTTGTGTTGTTTTGTTTTGTTGTTTTTTGTTTTGTTTTTTGTTGTTGGTTTTTTTGTTGTTGTTTTTGTTTTTGTTTGTTTGTTGTTGTTGGTTCGGCAATGAATTATTACAGTCAATTTGACAATGTTGTTATTTAGTTGGTCGTAATCCAGAGGTTTAATCAAGAATTACTAAAGAAAACATTCTATAGTTCGGAATAGATGGTCGCACAGGGACTGATAACTTACTTTGACCTTGACTGGTGGTCGGCAATTCAAGGTTCAAACTTTCATGAATTTCTCATGATACCTATACTTGATCGCAAAGATTGATTTAACCAGACCTGCGGTCGGCATACACAGGTTCGACCGGATAATAATTTATATTTTCTCCGTATTTAGGTCGGTATAGTTGGTCGTACAGGTGCTGGTAAATCGTCCTTACTCAGTATGTTATTCCGACTGAATAACCCAGAAGGACTGGTACAAATAGACTCTCTAACAATCACTGATTTGTCCCTTCACGATTTGAGAAGCGCTATATCCATCATACCACAGGTATGTACTCACCTCTCTCCCCTTACAAGCTGAGCGGTGAAATTTAGTTTCAGCCAATCACAGCGCGTTTAGCTGTTCTGCCGCCAGCCCTCATCTCTAGGTTATTGTAAAGCAGCAGTAAGGGGGACTCGCGGTCAATGTCAAAGATTTACGGG